AAGTGGTAGAGCGCTAGTCTTGAGCTGAAGAGCTGAGGGACAGCGCCCAGGCCCAGAGTTCAAGCCACACAACCAACAACAACAACAACAAAAAGATTACAGGATGGCCTGGCCAATAAATAAATTAAGTAAGTAAGTAAGATCTTATGAAAAATAATTAAGGTCAAAGGGCCAGGAGCATGGCTTAAGCAGTAGAGTGTCTTCTTAAAAAGTAAGAGGCCCCAGATGAACACTGGTAGCACATGCCTGTCATCCTACTCAGGAGGCTGAGATCTAAGGATCACAGTTCAAAGCCAACCTGGGCAGGAAAGTCTATGAGACACTTATCTCCAATTAATCACAGAAAAAGCCAAAAGTGGTGCTGTGGCTCAAGTGGTAGAGTGCTAGCCTTCGGCAAAAAGAGTTCGAGAACAACAACCAGGCCGAGTTCAAACCCCAAAACTGTTCCCCCCCAAGAAAGGAAAGAGGACCTGAATTCAAACCCTAATACTACCAAGACAAACACCTGCCCTGTACACACACAGGACAGCACAGCGTTCACACCTGTGTCTGAGTAGACCTCACTAATCTCTGCCACCCAGTGAGAAGCCTCCCCCACTCCAAGCCTCACTTGGGGTGCTGGTCAGACATGATGGGCAGAAACTCATCCACAGGCAGCATGCGGTGCAGAGGCTGGGAGGCCAGCAGCTTGCGGGCCCCGGCCAGGCTCAGGGCATACGCCAGTGTCCAGTAGGAGTACCCAGCCACCACCAGGCCAGGGAACCCCTCCACAGCCAACTCCTCCTCGGGGTTCACCTGCTTCCGGCCCAGGTAGCTGTGGGTGACACCAAGAGGCCCAGGTCACTTTATCAGACCTGGGGTACCCTAGGCCCCCTCCTCACAGCCCCCTGTGACAGGGTCAGACTCTGTGGGAAGGGCTGGCCAGGAACCCAAGCAGGAAGCAGTGGACACCAGCAGCCACCCTTGTCCCTAGGGGCACAGGCCACCTACATCAGGTCCCATGGGAGTTTGTGGGTCGCCACATCCTCCATCAGCCGCACCAGCCTCCCCCGGAAGTTGCTTTTAAAGTGCACATCATCTTCAAATACCAGGACCTGGGCCAGGCCCCTGGCCACCACCTGTGGTACAAGGAGATGGGAGGGGACTACAGAGGCAAGCCTTCCCCTTCCCACCTGCCTGAAGCCAATCATCTGTGCAGGCCTCCGCTACTTGGTGCATGCAGAGCCCTGGCAGTACCGTGCAGCCACTCCCAAGTCCGCTGGGCGCCCCTGGCTGGGGACTGTCATCAGCCTTGCCCTGGCATCGAAGGCTCCCGGGACCCTAGTCTAACTTTCAGAGATCCTCATGGCAGTTACCACCCTTGTTGGGTTCACTGAGCACTGACACATCCCACAGGGCCCTCCCTGCTCATCTCCCAGGATCTCACAAGGCAGGAAGGAAAGCAAGTGGACACCAGAAAGGGAGAATGCGTGCCCATAGCTTATAGCCGGAAGTGGCAGGTCCAGGGTTTCAACCTGCGATTGCTCGGCTCCAGGGCCCAGTCTGTCAAGTCAACCTCCTGAGCTTCCTTATGGAAACTGGTCTGGGCCCTCACATCTCAGTGCCAGGCACTGGTGGCTGACACCCGTAATCCCAGCTACTCAAAAGGCTGAGGCTAAGCTCTGAGGATCATGGTTCAAAGCCAGCCTGGACAGGAAAGTCCATAAGACTCTTATATCCAATTAACCCTCAGAAAACCAGAAGTAGAACTGTAGCACCAAGTGGTAGAGCACTAGCCTTGAGCTGAAGAGCTCCACAATATAACAAAAAGAAAAAGGGGGGGAAGATTTCTTCAAGTAACTTTGGGAAATGTGAAAAGAACGTGAAATCAGCTCAGTAAATGGCAAACTGACTCATCATCCCTCAATATTTACAGAATTTTTTTTAAAAAGACAAATATAAACTTAAGCTTATACATACTCATATATTTTTGTTAGAAAATAAAATAAAAACAGAGAGACAGATATGGTGGCTCATGACTGTAATCCCAGCACTCAGGAAGCTGACACTGAAAGAACACAAGTTTGAGGGCTACATAGCAAGACCTTGTAAGCAAGACTAATATCAATAAGAGAAAAAGAAAGAGAATAGGGAAATGGGGAAAGGAAAAGAAAAAGAGACTCAAAGTCAGTGCAGGAGGCTCAGACCTATAATCCTAGCTATTCAGAAGGCTAAAATCTGAGGACTGAGGTAGAAAGCTAGTCTGGACAGAAAAGTTCATGAGACT